CCAAGGCCTCTGTATTTGTACCACGTTTCTTGAGCTTATTCAATGAAGCAACCTTTTTCTGATATTCAAGTTTCATTTGTTCTCCTGCCTGTGAAGGATCATCAGAAATCCATGAGAAAGGGCATATCAGATAGGACAATTCAAAACCCAAAATACATTATATAATTCCTTTGACAACTTCATAATATAATTTAAAATGCCACAAGAACACCTGGATTTACCAACTTTTGAAAAACAATTACTACATATAATCAAGGGTACAGGGCGTGATACTCGCATACTACATCACTTAAGACTTCAAAGTACCTTTAGTATTCCAAAAGTAATGTTTCAAAGCAGAAATGGCATCATGACACACAAAGCAATACATCCTTGATGACCAAGTTGCTCACATAAGGAAACACAAAGCACCAGAGGACATTATCCTAAAACAACGGGGGTTCTACTAGGCTACTTGTCAGAAACCAAAGATGATTCAGGTTCTAGAACTCTCAAGTATAATGATAAATACTGAGAAGTCAAAGTTAAAGGAGAATTATGCATTACAACATCGTCTTTGACACTCAAGGGCAGCAGCTCTTGGAAGTAACTCTAATCTAAGTGCTTTACATCAGGTATCATTATCAGAGGCCAAAACATCATGCTGACCTGACATTGTTCAACCTCAATATACAGCTAACAACACATTTAAGTGGAGCTGCTTCTTAGGTTTTTCTAGTAGGACACCTAAGTTTGGCAAGAACTCCATGCTAGACAGATGCTTCATTTGCCACTTATCAACAACATGATGTACCTCATATGCCCCAATATTGATGCGACACATTATAAAAAGTTTTAGATCCCTTGAAATGTTGACCTATGTTCATGTAAGAGTCAGAAGCCTATCATTAAATTATCATTTTTTTATAAGTGTCTAGACTTATAAATTATTTTTTGCAATTTCAAAACGTTGCTTCTTATCTTGATTAATTTACTCCATACTAGATGCTAACCAATATGTATATTCAAACAAGATTAGTTTAACAGCATATAAAATATCATCATATCGTCAGTCATGTCCTATATTTGTGTTCATGCTTCACAAAACACGAAACATTCAGAAAAGTGCTCCTAAATTCATAGATGAAGCCATCTGGCGCTGGGAGAAAAAACCCAGGATCCTATGTTTCAGACATTGCACCCCCTCCCCACAACCCAAACCCAAAAGAATATAAAAAAGGAGAGAAAGAAAAAGCATAAAGGAAAAGAATAAAACAAGAATAAAAGAAGTAGATAGATGGAACATCTAAAGGAAAATCGGTAATAGCAAAAGAAGAACAAATAAATTACCGCAATGGAGGTGGAAGGGCTACCCTTCCAACTATATGGAAAAGAACATTCAGCAAAAGCAGGTATACTTGGCTAAATAGAATAGAAAATTTAAAGTGATCACTCAACAAGATTTGATTATGAGGAAACCAAATAGGCGAAGGGAAAAACATGGAAGAAAGAGAATGCACCTAACAGATAATATAATGCAACAGAAAGATAAGAGAACTACACAGAATTCATTCATGACAATTAGACTCGAACCAAAAAGAAGAATAAAATGTTAGATAAACACACCTTCACTTCATCGTACAGCTTTTTCTCCCATGCGAGCATCTTGTCTAACACCGTTGCATGAGTTTCATGTTCTTCTGAATCAAAGTCATCCAATCCATCATCAGCATTTGGCAAGCCTCTGAAGGACCTATTCCATGTTATGACACGCATGACCCTTGCAGAATGATCAATGTGTCCTAAAAAGGAAAAAATAGAGAGATTTAAACATTGGCATTAACATTTAACAGACAATTCAAACTCCAGGAATGAAAGTTTATTTAAAGAGTAACACATCCTGGAATATATTCAAAAAGATGGCAGTTTTATGAGTAGCCATCATAATAACTGTTATTGAGCATGATCGGTCAACGTCAACTGTGTATTAACAACCATTGCACCATCGACTAAAAGGAAAACCTAGAAATCTGTTGTTTAAAATCACAATACAAAATCGGCCTATCCATTAACCATAATTTGATCAAGGCATGCAACTTAAGGACATTTGAATAACAAAAAGATAATCCAACAGAAAGAGAATCCACTAATTTAAACTGAATCATTTTTATAGAAAACACACTATATACCTCTATTATCGGCAAAATTTGAGTGATAATGCAATCGATTTGCCTCAAGCATCTTAGATACTTCGTGAGCACTCTCGGATGCCTTAAGGAAACAATCATCCAGCTCGGAGAATATCTGCAGAAGGTTAAATTGACCTCCTTTCTTTTTACTCTCTCCTGGAACAACATTTTTCACTCTTTTCACAACTTTAGCGGCAACTTGAGGCGGAGGAGGTGGCTCTGTCGGAGTCTCCGCTGCCGTTTCTACCACCTCAGCCTCCTCTGGCATCTCGTTCTTCTTCACTCTTTCAGTTTCATTAGCGTTTTCAGCTCTCTTAGCCCTTTCGTCATACATCTTCCGCTCGAGATCCTCTCTTTCAATCCTACTCTCGTCCACCTCAGCTAGTGTAGGGCCGGGGACGTTGTCCATTGAAGGGAAGAAAAAATCCCATGACATGGACGCCATCCCCTTGCTATCCGGCGGCGGTGGAGGAGGAGGCGCTCGATTATTCTGTGGCGGTGTCCGTGGTGGAGAAGGAGGCGTTTGCAATCCCCCAATTCCTCCACCACCACCGCCGCCGCTACTTTTACTGCTACGATGCCTTAAACTATGAGTACTTTCAGTTTCCATATCATCCTCGTTTTCCTCTTCTATAATCATATCGGATCGTTTTGGTTCAGGTACGGGGATGGATATTTCGGGCATAGTGGCAGCACGCTGAAGAGGGGAAGGTGGGAAAGAAGGATTGGAAAACGGAGGGAGGGGAGGAGGAGGAGGCATGTCTAAGGGGGTGGAAGAGAGGGGAGGAGTACCACCGGGTAAGGGGGAAGAGGTGGCGGCGGCAACGGCGGCAGTAGAAGGGAATTGAACTTCGCCGTGAGCGTAATCGCTAAGGGCAGCACCAGTGTTTTTGAGAGACATAGTGTAAGCGGAGTGGGCGGCGGAGAAAGCGTTACGGGACGCTACAGCTTCTTTCATGAAAAACTTTCGCTCTTTGCATCGGGTTACAGTTTCTTCATTCTCGATCTTCGATTGTGTACACCCCATTGTTTCTTTCCTTTCCAATTCACAAGCAAAACTAACAGTCTAAAACTCTGTATAAGTGCATTAATAAAATGAAGAGGAGATTTTACTTAGAAATACATAGAGAGAATTGAGATCGGATCAGCTTTGAAGAATTGTGTAGAACTGAGAAGAGATGAGCAGGACTTGGAAATTCTGTACAGAGAGAGAATACTCCTTTGCTTTTTTGTTTGTAAAGAAAAGGGGAATAAGGAAAACTACAAAAGGAAAAAGGAAAATTTCAGGTTTAACGGCACCGTCTACTTGATCCTCAACAACGACGTCCACGTTGACGTATCAGTGAAACAGTGATCCCCTCTCTGCCTTCTGTAACCCAAAAGAAAAAGGCAATACAACATAACATTACGAAAAAGATTTCAGACTTAGTTAATAAAAATATTAAATTTAAAGAAAAAGAGGTTTTTTCTGACTACTAAAAAGGTTCTCAGAGCTCATGTTTTTGACATTTTTCTTGATTTTTGTTTAGATTATTGGTTATAGAACCTAGAACTCGCTAAAATGGCTGTTGAATAAATATAATGGATTTTTCAGCTCCAGTTGTTACAGTTGTTCAACAAACGTAGGAGCAACACTTTATCATTTGACAACATGCATTGGTACACGTTTTGTTGTTTTGCTTTTGTATGGGGTAAAATTGGTTAGTGACAGCTGGGCGAACGACGAAGTGACACGCGGAACTAAAGATAAGTGGGACGTGAGTCACCAAACAGCTGGCCCCGAGTTTGAGCACGCAATCGATGCTGAACGAATCCCGAAGACAGAGTAGCCGGTAACAAAGATTCAAACTATTATCATCGGATAGCATTCAAAGAGCAACCGTTACAGAGAATATCTGCATTTATAACCAACCGTTATGCAGCTATCAGTGACGGTTTTATTCTCATTCAGGAGGAGCTTGATTATTCTGCTCTCATTTTATAACATTATTCTCAGTTTTTGTTCTTGAACATTGTTCTCACTTTTGCCACCGAAAATGCTAAGTTCATAGCCAGACTCGTATTTATATTTCATAACCTTATCTTTGTTCTTATTTATTTACTACTTTTTGGGTCAAATCGATTCACTTGTCTATAAACCACATTATAAATTTAACTGTACCGTTTTACGATTAAACAACTTCCCTAAGGTCAACAGATGCACGAAGCATCCCGTATTCATGCAGGGTCCGGGGCAAAACTACACTCCAAAGGATAGACACAGTTCGAACCCATGATCTATAGGTCACACAAAGATAACTATCCTTCTTTGGCTTTCCTCTTTCCTTTATTTATTTATTTTTGAGTTTGAGGAGGAAGCTTTCAGTACAAGTTTGGGTAGGAATGATTAATGAATCATGGTGCACTTAGTAAAAGCAGATATTCGAGTATTCGCAACCAGTTGTTTTATTTAGGCCTTTTATTTGGTATAGTCGAAAACTTGGAATTAACTTGCCTTAAGGTAGAGACTAACGACAACAACACAAAAAGGAAAAAAGATGACTGGAAAACCTTTTTCCTAGCTTTTGCACAGCTAAAGGTATAAAGTGGGTTCACAAATGGAAACAGCACCATTCAAAGATTCTGATATTGCATGTGACGCGTCTTCGGATGCCTAATTCTGTAATAATTTGCGAAAAGTCAGAACAATATTTCTGTAACCTCTACTATTCTAAGAGTTATTTATCCCTGCAAAATTGCTTGTTTGCTGCCTTTTTGTCCTTTTTTCCACATGAACAAACCACTTGCACGTCTACGAATCTGTTTTGTAAAAGTGACAGTTGATGCTTATAGAGCATGAAGATGAATTTCAAGTTCATAGCAATGCAATCACAAGGCCTATTTAGTACTGACTTTTACTCTTAAAAACGAATCATAAGGTAAGTCGCTGAAGATAAATGTTACCAAGTGTGTTCCCGAAATTCAGAAGAGTGCTCTATGATTTAACTTAATTTTCCAAATTTCAACGTCATTCCCTCTATTGTAATCCCTCACATAACATGGAATGCATCTCAAATCAATCTGCTCGCCAACAAAGAAAGGTTCGGATGCACTATCAAGCTGCTTACATCCTGCATCATCTGCTCCATAGTAGCATATCTTAAATATATAGTGGTGACGAAGTGCCAAATAAGAAGTGAAACGAAGTTCTTATCTATTTGCAGCTTCCTGCTTACCTTCTCCGGTGATCAGGTAACTGCGGAAGTGTGAATATCCATTTGCAACAACATCAAGATCATCAAGCGCGAAGTTGTAACGCTTTTCCAGAGCCAGGTATAGCACCTGAAATGAAGGGCAATACCAGAACCAATCAATCACTATGCTTTTATGATCTCTCACTCTTAAAGGTGCCAACAACATAATGCTTTAAAGCTTTTGGAGCCCCAACAAAAGGGCAGCCGGTGCACTAAGCTCCTGCTATGCGCGGGGTCCGGGGAAGGGTTGGACCACAAGGGTCTATTGTACGCAGCCAAAATGAAAACAAAAGATGTGGCAATTTCTTAGGCAAGTGACTAGCTGGAAGTACCAAAAGCAACACAGGACCCAACATGCAGAACCAAAATGGCAAAATGGCAAGACAAAACATCTTGTTGCCTCAATGCCACCACTACGGATACTTTACGCTTTTCTTTATGCATATTTAACGGCTTACAATGTTTCAAAATTCCCGAACCATCAGAGAAATATGAACCGGTTCATTTCTGTTTGATTTCATATAATGACCTACTAGCCATATCTAAATATCATGCTATCAAGCTAACTTCATAAATTGATGTCCAACTTCTTGGTTGGTCTTCATCATCATTTGAAGCAACAAGGTGAGCTTTCATTTTACAGCACACTTTCTTATTGATTTAATTTCAAATTTCTGCCAAAGATCTTTTTTTCTTGGTTATAATCTTAGGGCACAAAATGAAGAACACATATCAAAATTTGTCGTGATGCTTGTGGGTTGTAGTAGGAACGCCTGATGGATTACTTGAGGCACGTGCAAGTTGGCCCCAGTACCACTGTCATCAAAACAAAAGAAAGTACAGCGTAGTCCAGCTTCATTCAAGGTACCTTCTCTGGGTTGTCTGACATTAGTTTCTCTAAGATGCTGAAAAATGCATCAGTCAGGTCATCGCTGTAAATGACATCAGCAGCTAGAAGCAAAGAAGTTTTCTTGAGTTCTTCGATTTCTGATTGGGTCCAGCTGTACCTGGACAAATATGGCTGACCTGCTTTAGTACTTAAATTCAAATGTTTAACATCGTTCAAACAACCAAAAAGGTCAGCAAAAGGTGGTTAAAGATTTGTCGAGAAATGCAATTCTAGCTGTCTCTTTTAGTAAAGACCAATCATTACCTTCCTTTGGATGGTGAAGTTCTCGCCTCTTGAGGAGGCCATGAATCTTTCCAATCAAGTTCACGTACGTGAACAGAAGCCTTGCCATGGAATATTTCAGCATTAAGATTCACATTTTTCTCACAGTTCTCGAGTACTTCGTCACCATGGTCTGACACATACAATTTAGGGCTTAAACAGATAATTTGATAAAAGCATGCCAACCTTAGTGCTCTAACTTAAGGATAGACAGTTCATAGCAACAGCCACAAAAACAAAGACAACACTAAAACTGATGGTGACTGGTTTAAACTCCAAAATATGTTAAATGAAGCATTGATAACACTAAGCAGCTCACCCAACATTAAGGGCCTAAATTAACAAAATAACATTTCTAGGCATTGAGCTCTCACCACCTAAATATATTGCATGGGAAGTGCTGATTGGTAGACTAAGTGCAGTCTTACTTAACTACTTGCAGAAAAAGATGTAATAATAAGCCGCCAGCTAGAGCAGCATTAAGATCCACTTTCCACAGTTGTCAAGTACTTCATCACCATGGTCGGCCGTATACAAGTTAGGATTAAGCAAATAGACGTGACAAAAGCATGCCAAACTTGGGTTTTAACTTAATGATAGACAATTAGACATAATCACAGCAACAGCTGCAGAGACAAGGCAAAAGCATAACATTGATGGTGACTAATGCAAAACTTTAAAATATGTCAAACGAAGCATTGGCAATACTAAGCAGGTGAAAAGGTTAGAACTTATGCATTTCATTCTTGTATACCTGTTATGAAGACGGTTTTAGCAACACGGGCAAGCAAAATACCAACTAACCCTGATAAAAACATTAAAAGAATATCTTGTCATACAGCAGATACTAATTCTTCAAACTTGAGCTCATTCTGCAAATTATTCAATTACAAGCAAAGAAAACCTTAACTCTGTGCATGGTTGAAATCTACAATTTCAATTATTCAGTGGTAGGGATGAAAGTGGGGCAGGTTTAACCAAATACCATATGACTCTAAATCCAAAAGGATACCTATGGACCCAATAGGATATCGTTATCGATCCTGATAGGGCTTGCTGTTAGAGGTACCCGATAGGCTCTGGGCTCTAACATCTGGGTCCTGCAACTGAACCCACGTATGTATCCTTTTTTTTTTATAAAGACCAGCATACGTACTTCTTATTGTATAACATATTAAATAAAAATTTAACCAAGGATGTGTTGTTGATAATTGTTTAATAAATATGGTGACACACAATATGATTAGGTGTTCATTAATTAATAAATGCAAATAAGACTAAGAAATGAAATGGGTCTATATGGAGCAAAATGGATACTGAGATACATAATACCCACCTCAACTAGTTGGGATTTAGCGTGGTAGTTGTTATCGTTGTAAGGTTAAGAAAAAAGGGCCGCCTAGCCCAAGGCTTTGGTTCAGAAACAGAGGGAGTACAACACGTGTATAGTAGGTGCATGCCACGTAAGCGAAACCGTCAAGCTAGGTATCAGAGTGGAGAAAGGTAGAAGGCTAGGCCAATTATCCTCAAGTTTCAAAGTTGAAACAGCATAATTCTGGTCATCAAAATAAAAGAAAAGCTATAGAAACAAAATATTTCAAGAAAACTTAATTTTCTTTTTTCTCCTTGAGTTTCTGAAAAGCAATATTGATAGTAATTTATTTTTGTCTTTTTCATTTTAATTTTTAAATTACTTATTATCGTTTAAGGTAACCTTTATCAGGCAAGTACCCGATCTTGGAATCACCATTTGGTTAATGGGGAAATTGGTGATGGTTAGAGGTACCAAAGCTGATACTACAAACAGAACAGAGTAAATCAAAGCTGATGAAACTTACCTGTACCAGCCCCAAGCTCCAACGCAACAACTTCATCAAAATCAGATGACATAGACATCACACGCAACACAAAATCAGCAAGTACTAGTTCTGCTCTCCAGACCTGATCAGGAAAAAACAACTAAATGAATAGCACATAAAACACTCAAAACTTGAGATAGCCTAATGAGGACAATAGTGATTACTGACATTTACTAAGGAAAAGAGAATACGTGCTCATACAGTTTTCAGTTAATTCCCTCATACAAATTGAGGAGAAAAGCCATCAACAGGAAATGTCATAGGCTCATAACGTACTCTCTTTAAATGGGGGAGAGAGAAGCTGAATGGAGGAATTATAGATGAAGACAAGACAAAATATAAAGACCAATTTAGGCTGAAATTTTTGGATTACCTGCAAACCAACTCTAGGAATCGATGAAGTGATATTGTGCTGGATGGTCAAAACAAGATGATGGCTAGGTGATTCTGCAAGTAAAAGGAAAATGACGCATTACGTCTATGGCTATTTAATTTGAAATGGTTGGTGAAGGGAGTGATGAGGAGCTTGGGTTCATAATCAGTGACTCCATCTAACTATTCAAGCCAAGTAAACGTGCATCTTTCTTAAAAGCATTCATCTGAAGGTTAATTTAGGAAACTCAACCAATATTCCCTATTTTATTATTATACCACAAAGAGAAAAATGCACTTCTTATCTAGGTAATCTTTGTGCTTTCTCTGAACTTCTTCTCCTGAATTAACTGAGCTAGGTTGACTACTGAGGAGATCAAGAGAAGAAAGTGTGTGCTGTGGTATTAGAGTTAGTTGGTGATATTTTGAAGTAAGGGTGGAATACACGAAAGCAGTGTAATGGCACTCAATAAAATTGGAAAAGTAACATTAACACATCAAACTCTATCCAGATTGTACATTTAGAGATTGAGCAAAGAGGTCATTCTTTTTGAGATGGACTAAATTAAAGAGTAGGTATGCGATGGAGGGAGTATTTTCTCATGAAATTCCAATGTGATATGATTTCTGTTCTTGTTCGCTCTTCTCTGAAGAGGGGAAAATAGAAAGCTTATAGTGGTTCACTTGAGATGAACTCCAGACACGGGTTCAGAAACTCAATGATTCTCAAACAGATTGCAGAAATCAAAGCCAGAGATAATTTACTCACATGCTGAATCAGCTTAAGTTCACATTAAACACAAATTTTCATATTTTTGTATACTTCCATTGGTATACCATCTCTAATTAGTAACACTATTAGATCTCAAAAGCAGATAAAAGAACGTCAAAGTGTATGCACCTAGATGAAAAGCTCATAAACCATGTTGGCATTGAAAAAAACTAGTACTCCGTAAAATAGATGAAAGGACTGCCAAAAATTAAGGTGAAACCCAATGACTTAAAAAGTACAAAAGCAAATGAAAGTGCTGAAAAGAAGGATTCATTATGTTATTGGGTATGGTGGACAAATATACACACACAAAGGAGAGTTCTTGATGAAAGCCTTAATTTTGTGGTGCAGATAACTTACTTTTGCGTCGTGTTAGAATAAGATCACCATCTTCATCCAAGTCAAACTTGGTAGATGTTGAAACTGATATATCTTCAACTGCATCAGTATGTCGTCTCGATGTGGAATTATCTACAAAGTTGAAAAGAACACAACTCTTTGAATAATGTTTTCATGAGGAATCGAGATCCTACTTCATCCTGTCATGTGTTACAAAGAGAAGTCCCAATATGTACACAAACTCAAGCAAGCTTCTGTAATCGCTTCAGACTTTTGGGCTACTCTAACAACAAATTAATAGTGCTTCCAGTTTTTCCAGTTCCTATAAGAGGCCAGCATACGAGTTCATTGTATCACCTGTTACTAATTGTTAAGACCAGATAATCCACCTAGCTCAATATTCTCTCTAATTCACAAAGTACATTTGACATCCATGATATATTGTATCAAATTTGAAAGAAGAAATAATAGACAATTTGCTCATTAAAATGTTCATCTGAGCTTATGTAGCGAATTTTTTACTAATTTGAAGAGAAACGTAGAAAATTCGAATTACCGTGGCGAGGTGGTAACGAGATGGGAAAATGGGAGACATGGGGACCGGAGTGATTAGGAGGGCAGCCAAGGTGAACTTCGCTCATCACTTGCTCCTCCTCTCTAAAGCTGACAACCGGTGACGAGGACGGTGACGGTGGAAACGACGATGTACGCGGTTGCTGCTCACCGTCTTCGCGCTCCATTGAATCAAAAGTTCTGCTGCAAAATTGATGTAAACGCAGCAGCCACTCTTTGTAGCTCCGTTAGTTCTCTCCGGCTACGCTGTTCACTTGGGTTTAGAGCCCAGAGTAGAGGAGAGGATATACATGACTAAAACTTTGTAAGTTAAACTAAAACCCCACTTTAGAGCTTGTTTGGATGGTCATGTATCGTATCGTATTGTTACTTTAAATACCTAACTTTTATGGTATCGTATCGTTAAATTACTCGTTCACTTTATGTAACGACAAATTTGGTGTGGTTGCATCATTATTTTGTCTTTTTCTCTCATCTCGCCCTTCACTATTATTAAGTTATTTTATTTTATCATTTACCCTACCTTTTTATATAATAAATGTACCCTGTATCATAATTTTTCTTTATAATATTGTAAATTTATTCTTCATATTGCTGGTACATGATATAATGAAACAACGGCAAACGATACAATCTATCCAAACATTGTATTCATCAAACGATACAGTACAGTATAATACAATACAATACGATACATTATGAAACGGCGTGTAACAACCATCCAAACAAGCTGTTAAGGAAAAAGCATTCAAAGTTGTATGTGAAATAAAAAAAATATTTACACAATTAGATCATTTGAAAAATAATAGCTTCGAGACTTGGGTATGAAAAAATTCTTGGTAGGGAGTGCTTTACTCCTGAATCGGGCCCTACGGAGCGTGAATCCGGATATAATCAGCCTCCAATGTGAATAACGAACAACGAATGGGAAAAAAATAGCAACTATCTCAATTAATGCTATTGATGGATAATCTAGAATAAATAGTAAGAAAAATGTTAAACAAAGTTAAATTATATTGATAGTGTAAAACAAGTAATTATATTGCAGTGTATATAAATAGCTCTTGCATTTCAAAATTAAATCATCAAACCCTTATATAATGAGAAAATTATGCAAATGATTAATAGCTTATGATTTAAATGAAATATGGTGATTAAGAGTTTTCAATTGGTTTTTTGGCTATTTACAAACGTGTATTTAGTTTATGACCCTGCATTTTTTTTTACACATGAGAGATTTGTAAAAGGTCATTTTTTTAAATTTAAAATTATAAAGGGGCATTATGTACAAATAGCACATACAAGGGTTACATTGTAATTGACTCATATTAAAGATGCAGCATAAAGCAAAAGCTTGAGAGTAGGTAAAACCAAGCTCAGATAATTAAAACAATGGGTTTTGAATAATCAATAAGACTTCAATATATGGGATTCGAATAATCCATAAGACTTCAATATAAGGACAATACACAGGTAAACTTTATCCAGCTAGTGTATTTACAACAGAAAGTGATAAGCTATTTCTATACTGCTTACAGGTAACAATCCTAACATGTAAACAAAGGATATGACAACCAATGCAGTAACTATTAATATGATGGACTACATATTGAAGGGATATAGGTTCATCTAACTAAACTTTTTATTCTTTTGATTTTTCTCTGAGAGATGCCAGTCGAGCCACAAAGTCATCGTAATCAGGTAGCTTAGGATGGACATGTCTATTTGGACCCAACATATCAGGTTGAAATGAATTTGCTCGATTGTGCCCTTTATTTAGCTCCCTTGGACTTGTTTGTTCCAGTTCAACTGGAAGGGATGCTGCTCTATTCCCCATACGTCTCCGCCTCGACACTTCATTAGTACTGTCAACTCCAGCTTGATTAGTAGGTGTCTTAACTGATTCTGGTTTCTTGATGTCCTTTTGGAACCTTTTCCTGCTGAAGTGCATCAATAGCCTATCCATCAGTTTTTCCTCTTCATCTCCATTTTCCTTATCGTCACCAGTGGTGACTTTTGTGCCACGCCTTGTCCTAGCTGATCTTGGCTTGTCCTTGGCTTTTTCAGCTGTATCATTCTTGCAATTTTCTTCTTCATTGGCTACTTCTCCAGTGGAACTAGTAGTAGAGGAATCCGAACTGTTTTTTGTTAAGCTCAGTCTTGATTTGATATAAGGAGGGATAATTGACCTATAATTGAATGGCTTCTTGTCATCAGGTTCTTCTTCAGGAACAATCTCAATCTCTGGTTTATTTTGTTTCCTTTCAATTCCTGTGCTATCCACTTCAATATCTTTTACTGGAGGTGAATCATCAGATTTTCTGCTAAGGCTGTCTCTTTCACGTCGGTAACTCTCCTTTCTCATAGGCACCTTATGTTCTTCATCAGGGACTATCTTTCTGCCAAATGAATTATGTTCCAGTTTATCCTTAGAATTTGTAAGTTGCCTCGTGTTCTCGCGATTAAACTTGGCCGCTTCATAATCTTTCTTCTGAGATGGTTCATCCATCTTATTGTGCTTCTGATCATTCTGACTTTTGGTCCAGTCCTGCGAAAGAATCAGACAAGATACAGATGAAGTCTAATTAGGCTGGGAAAATACATTTGAAATGCACACTATCTGTTTAAACAGAAAGAATAACAGAATGTTAAAAATTAAAATTTCTTTCGATTTTTTGTTGCTGCTACTATTTGTTTATTGCTTCTTTTTAACTACTCTTGAGCCGAGGGTCTATTGGAAACAATACTCTTTACCTCCCTAAGGTAGGGGTAAGGTTTGCGTACACAGTACTCTCCCCAGACCCCATTTGTGGGATTCCACTGGGTATGTTGTTGTTGCTTTCAGTTCTTTACTGGTCAAATTTACTTTTAAACAACAATTCAAGTGGCTTAGATGCAACAAAAGAGGAGATTTTGAAGTTCTATTGAAGGCTTACTTGTTCTGATACAAGTGGATTATATAGCTTCTGCTCTAAAGCCTTTGAATTCCATTCAATACCAGATTCTGATGCTATATCTTTCATCAACTGAAGTTTCATCTCCTTTATAGCTACTGACTTTAAGTTTTGAACAAACTGTCAAGAAAGAAAATTTGTTATGTTTTTTAGAGCTAAAGGGAAAAAGTAAAGTTGCGTTTGTAAAATATTATGACAGTGAAATGATGAGTGAGTACCTCTTTACTGACATAACATTCAACGGAATTTTCATATCTCTCAGTAAATACACTTCTTAGTTGGCGTAATTCTGGCACGTCAGCGAATCTTGCTGCTGCGAAAATCAAAGATGATACAGCTTCTCTGCACTCCTCGGGGCATTCCCTATGAACAACAATTACCCAGAAATTGAGGAAACTACTCTGTGATGTTTTATGGCGCCTCACGACTATACATATAGTATAAATAAATAAAAGAAGAATACCTCTGTTTATACATGGTTACAAGATTATTTGAGATGTGGTCACAATATTGCTCCAAGAGATCATAACAGCGGGAGCGATTGAGCTCAACCAGAAGGCCTTCAGCCTGTTGTAATCAACCGAAACTCCAAATTAGAATAAATTGAGCTATGCACAGTTTAGGGGAGAGGGAGAAATTTAACAATTATAGCCTTTTAAATTTTTAGACTCACGATTACATGAAATAAATTAGAATAAATTGAGCTCTGTCAACTTTGAGGCTTCACTCATACTATAGTAATTATGAAAAGTCATCTTTTTATCCCAATAATTTTAACATAGTAATATAGATTCCTATGGGAGTTCTCATTGCATGCCGGATCTTTCAAAATATAAAATCTCCATTGACTCTTGAAATCAAGTTAATTATGTTCCGAATGCATAATTTTTTGGACAGAGACCTTTACATTTGATGACATACCAAAATCTAACTGCCTCATCAGGAAACCTTGAAATTGGACAGCAAAATCGATTACACCAAAAGAACGAAAGCGAAATTGTTACGTCGATATTGGAACATTTTATAATCCATTTTATATAACATACCCAGCAAATAAATCTCAAAGAAAAAAGAGTAACAAAAAAGAAACACAGATTTGGGATGATTTCGACGAAACTTTCCCAGAAAATTCCAAAAAAAAAAAGGGGGGGAAAGAAAATTACCCTGCTGTAGGCGTTGACATCCAATCCAGTTTTAAGGAGATCCGCTACGTCATTCTTCAAATATTTCAGCATTGCATTTCTCTTCCTCTTTACCATCTCGATTCGAGTCTTTGTCAGCTTGATATTAGCCTTGCTGTACCAGGAAAAAAACACAAAAGAACATGAGCACAACAAATAGGCTAATAGCAAAAGAATTGAAAACCCTACCAATAAAATTTAAACAAAAAGAAAAGAGAAAAATAAGAAAAACAGAGAGCATTGCAGAATTATCGTTATTACCATCTGGCGTAGAACTTGCTTTTCAGCCATGCGTCTAACATCTTGATTTTCTTGTAGTATCAAAATGAAAGAGATCACCAATTTAAACGGATTGATATTGAAAAATGCGGTTGAAGTCACGACAGGAATCAACTTCGAATTTTGACAAGAAAAAGTAAAGAAAAGAAGCAGCTGCTTTGTTTTGATACAGAGGAAAAGAAAACTTTATGATGGAGACAATAACAGAAGCTAATGCTTATCCAGAATCTAAAAGTTGGAATAGAATTCAATTGAGCTGTTAGCTTTAATATAAAGCGAACGAGAAAATCATGAAGCTGATGGTTGGAATGTACACAAAAGAACTACCTATTTATGAGGGAGAAATAAGAGAGTTAGTAGCTGGCTGCTGACAATCTCTTGGTGCCACGTTGGACAACCCACTCACAGTAATTTTTGGGTCTGATAACTGTAAAAGCTGTAGTTTTACTGTCTCCCCATATGTTTAGTGCGGGTAAATTAACGGCTTTGGCGCAAAAATAAGGGTAAAATGGGATGCGGGGAAACGTTGAGGCCATAACATGCGCTTATCGATTACGAAGTTGGCGGGTCTATTATGGAATAATGAGAGTGAAAACCGCGAGAGACAATGTCGAGGATCCAGCTCTTTATTTTTCACTTTTTTGTTTTTTTACACTTTTCTAAGGTTTATTATTTGCAATGATACTAGACTATAATAGTTGCAAAACAATCCTTCACTCAACCGCTTAAATCAAAAATATTCAGCAGATGTATAATATATGTATAATCAATGTATAATCTATGTATAGTGGTTAGGAAAAGTAAACTGTGAATTTGACCGGCTATTTGTGTAAAAATAATAAACGTGCTAAATATTTATATATCCTTTGGAGCAGGGGAGGAATTAATGAAGAAGCAGTGAAGTAAAATGCGACGACTGTTTCGGGGTAGATGTCTATTGAGGAAGGAAGTAGAGAAAGAAAGAGTCTTAGGTGCCTCAGATATGTAGGGGTTTTAATTTAGTTGTAAAAGATTGTCTATTCTTTAGGAGAAAATAAAGATGTTCCTTGTTTTGAGGTGCAAATTTGTGGAAGAAAGTGGTCTTTGCTAGCTTTTGCTGGCTTAAGTCCTAAGCTTTATCACTAAGATTAAGATGGCAATGTTGTCCTACTAAAACACCTAATGATGAGCTGGGGTTTGAAATGTCTATAATTATTTATCAGCTCATTCAAAATAGCTAAGGTTGTTACCTTGTGTAAATACTGCTCGCATATTTTTGTTTTTCTTTCCAAGTAGGATTCTCAGTAGATTTATCAACTTTTTCAGACTGACTTTAATCAAATTACAGTCAGACATATCTATAACAATATCCCTATATAACAGTCATTCACTATAAAAGTTAAATTTTTCTTGGAACCGATTTTTATGTTATGTTATAATATATGTTCTCTATAACGATACTTCACTATAGCAACCAAAAAATATCAGAACAAACGAACTATCATAGAGAGATTTGACTGTATATATATATAAAATATTAAAATGTCATCACATAATTTCATAATCAATTATGGTTTGATAGTAAAAATAGCGGTATAGTTGTCAATATATACATGATTCCTCGCGCTTAATATTTACATCAAGTAAGGGCTCATTTGTTTGCACTTAATGAAGGTCCGAATCTGAATCTTAATCATTCAGATCTCAGATATGAAGTGCATTTGTTTTTAAAGTATGAATCTTAATCATTTAGTGTGTTTGTTTTTTTTTACTTCACAACCACTTAATGGGTCTGAATAGGGTTGTATGATTAACAGCTTGTTTGGATGGTTGTTACCCATTGTATCGTATTGTATTGTTACCCCAGAACAATGTTTGTTTTGATTGTTTCATTAAAATTGGTTGTATTGTATTGTTAAATCCGTTATTCTGGAACAATGAAAAGTCCCATTTTTTAAAACAACCGATTTGGCGTGGTGGGATTGTTTCCTATTTTTCTTTCCAATTATGCCCTAACTTATTACTCCATAATATTTTACCCTTTACCTTTTTTTTGTTTAAACTCTAAATCTCCAACCGATAACCCATTTTGTTTTCGTCCCTTTTTTTTCCAGTGTAACAACCCGATCGGTCATTTTATTTTTTTTAGAACCTCGTTCCCCTAAATAAAACTTTCCGCACTTGCTTTAGCTAATTTACGACTTGCGGGGGTGGTTGGTTCGGGATTTGGAAGGGTTTGGGTTGATATAAGCCCACTTGAATCCTTAAGATTTTCTTAAAAGGCCAAGTTTGACTTTGGTCAACATTTCTAGCAAACGGACCCGGATCTGTGTTTTGACGGTCCCGGAGGGTCCGTAGGAAAATATGGGACCGCCCGGAATCGAATTCCGAGGTCCCTAGCCCGAGAAATGAATTTTTATTAGAAATTGTTAAAATTGAAATTTCAAGGATTTAAAGAAACTAAATAATGATTGATCACATTGGTATCGGGCTCGTATGTTGGTTCCGGAGCCCAGTACATGTCCAATATAACATTTAAGACCTTCCCTCAAAATCTGGTGTCAATCCGAGTAGTCTAAGTACGTTTCGGCTCGTTGGAAGTGAATTAAGAACTTGAAGTTCATAAGTTTGATTTAATTGGTTTTAGGGGTGATTCTTAGATTTACCGTTGTTTCGGGTGATCCGAAGGTTCGAGCAAGTCCGTTTCATGATTTCAGACTTGTCGGTATGCTCGGGGGGGGGAGGGGGGGGGGGGTAGCCCCGAGCGTCAATCGAACGAGGCTCGAGTGAAGTTGGAAATATTGAGAAGTGCTGAAGCTTCAGTTGCTGTCATAACCGCACCTTCGGTTGGTCAGCCGCAGGTGCGGTCAACCCATCGCAGAAGCGGCCCACGGCTGGCCAGGCCAAACCGCAGAAGCGGCTCTTCAGCCGCAGAAGCGGCTCTTCAGCCGCAGAAGCGGCTCTTCAGCCGCAGAAGCGGTCCCAGCCCGCTTGGCCAATTCCGCAGATGCGGCCTCCCTATCGCAGATGCGGTCTCCTGACCGCAGATGCGGAAATCGCTGAAGCAGTGAGCTTCATTTAATACGGGCTCCAGCCATTTTCAACCATTTGTCACTCGTGTATTGAGCGATTTTGGAACTCTTGAGGGGGGATTTCCACATTACATCTTGAGGTAAGTTCATCCCCCTTATTTCTAAGTTTAATACTCGAGTTTTGGGTAGATTAACACCTAAAGATTAGGAGAAATCAAGGGGTTAGAGCAAAACCTAGGGTTTTGATAAAACTTAGATTTTACCACGAAATTGGTTATGAAACGAAGTAGAAATCATATACTATTGATCCTTAGGTTTCAAGGAACAACTTTCTTCGAAAAATGTCGGAATCCAGGTACGTGGGCCCGGGGTCGGATTTTAGGAAACTTGTGTCTAAGGTTGGGGAATTGTTTTAATAGTTAAAATGCGATCTTGTATTGACTAGTTCCTACTTCATTTAACTAGTTTTGGATCGTTCGGCTCCAAATTGAGAGTTCAGGCTCGTTCTTGGTATTGGAAGTGCACTTTGGAGCAAGGTGAGTCTCCTATCTAACCTTGTAAAAGGGAATTGTCCCCATAGGTATAATAATTGAATAATTTGTCATTAAATGCGGGGGCTACGTACGCGCTTGGTGACGAGAGTCCGTGCGTAGCTACTATTATGCTTAAGTCCGGGTAGTTTAGGACCCTAAAAGCATATTTTATGTGATGCACTTGTTACTCTACGATTAATTCGAGACTTCCTAAATCTTGTTGAATATGTAAACGAATCTAATAAGTGGAACACTATATTTCTTGCCCTTTTAAGGGAGAAGTTGTCATGTTGTGAGTACTTGCTCTCCTGATGCCTGTCTTGTCTACTTGTTGATGTGTTTAAATACATTTGACCACTTCGCATGTATGATTCGCGAGCGGGGTAATAGATGCATCTATGGTTCGCGCCGTTCGACCCTCCGGCAGTGCACACTTTATTTTTATGTTGGATCGGGCCGTACGACCTCGGCACTACTTGCGTATTCTTGTTGACTGGTATATTGTTGTGGATGGAACATTGTTATATAATGAAATTGGCTAACTGTGATATCACCTAGTTAAGGACTTGTTGCTTCATGCTATAAACTGTTATTTATTGTGCTATCCATGTCTAGTGTATCACCTATCATGTTATTTGACCCTAGTAAGTGTCATGTCGACCTCTCGTCTCTACTTCTTCGAGATTAGACAGGATACTTACTGGGTACATATTATTTATGTACTCATACTACGCTTCTGTACTTAATTGTACAGGATCTGAGGCTGGTACATCTGACTACCAGGCTGGTGCATATCCGTGACCGCTCGAGATTCCACGGTGAGCTGCTCCCTTCCTATGCCGCTCAGCAGCCCGATGGAGTCTTTTCTTTACTTTTGGCTGTCTATTCTCTTTCAGACAGTAGGGTAGTATTATTCTTTTGTATATTCTACTAGCTGCCCATGCACTTGTGACACCAGCTCTTGGCACACACATTAGTAGACTACTCTTTTGGGATGTATAACTATTTCTGAATGTTGACTATCGCATGCTTTAATTTCTGATTAAGAAAATGTCGTAACCGTTTTAGTAAGTAAAAATGAGAATTTATTAATATTTTTGCGTTGGCTTGCCCGACAACGGTGTTGGGCGCCATCACGACTTGAGGTGAAATTGGGTCGTGACATCCAGAACTTTTGCCGCTTCCAACTATAACGTAAAAGGTGTTTTGCCTTCTTTTTTTGTTTTTTCTCCTAATTTGATTTTATCTCCAATCCTAATTATCTTTGTTCTGTCAATTCTCGTTCCTTTCTTTATCATAGTTCTTTTACATTTTATTTTTTGTCTTACTATTATTATTATCTAGTTAGGAATGGAGTGTACTTATTTTTTTTTTTTAATAATATTAACTCGTTCCACCGATTTTGTTAGATATTGCATGACTTTAATTGCTTAATCTATTTATAAGACATATTTGATGATAATTAGTAGAAAGTGATTTTCTTAAATTATTTTTATGCGTAATTCTTGATAAATTTAATATTTAAACAATTGAGGGTATTTTAGTAAACTTATCAGTTACAGTACAGTACGATACAGTCAAACCAAACAGCAAAATATTATTTAACAACAGCAAACAATACAATATATCCAAACGTTGTATTTATAAAACGATACAGTACAATACAATACAATACATTATAAAACGATGGATAACAATGATCGAAACAGAGTGTAAGATCTATAACCAAGACTTAATTTCATTACTTACTATCATCCACATTCATTACTAACTGCC